CCCTGGCTCCCTGCTCTGTGCTGTGGGCTCTCTGGGGTGTCCCCCCACAGTCCCTGGCTCCCTGCTCTGTGGTCTGTGCTGTCTGGGGTGTCCCCCCCGTGGTCCCTGGCTCCCTGCTCTGTGGTCTGTGCTGTCTGGGGTGTCCCTCACTGTGCCATCCCCCCTCAGGCAGGCCCTGAGCGAGGTGACGGCGGCGCTGCGGGAGCGGCTGCACCGCTGGCAGCAGATCGAGCTGCTCTGCGGCTTCCAGATCGTCAACAACCCGGGGCTGCACAGCCTGGCCTCGGCCCTCAACATCGACCCCGGCTGGGTGGGCACCCCCCGGCCCAACCCCTCCCACTTCATCATGACCGACGACGTGGACGACCTGGACGAGGAGATCGTGTCCCCCATGTCCATCCAATGTACGCGGGCTGGGCTGCTGGGGCTGGGGGGGCCCTCTGGGCTGGGGCTGGGGGGGCCCTGTGAACTGGGGCTGTGTCTGTAGGGTCCCTCTGAGCTGGGGGGCTGCTGGGGGGCACTCTGGGCTGGGGCTGTTTCTGGGTGGGGGCTGTGGGCTGTGTCTGGGGTCTGGGTGGTCTCTGTGATCAGGAGGACTGTGCCTCAGTGGTCCCTCTGAGCGGGGGCTGTGTCTGTGGGGTCCCTGTGAGCTGGGGGGCTGTGTCTGGGGGCTGAGGTTGTGTCTGTGAGGTCCCTGGGAGCTGGGGCTGTGTCTGGGTGGGCCTTGAAGGCTGAGGTTGTGTCTGTGGGGTCCCTCTGAGCTGAGGCTGTGTCTGTGGGGTCCCTGGGAGCTGGGGGCCTGTGTCTGGGCCTGGGTGGTCTCTGTGATCAGGAGGACTGTGCCTCAGTGGTCCCTCTGAGCTGGGGGGCTGTACCTACTGGGGGCTGCGACATGGGCCAGACCTGGATCCATAGTTCACACCCATGAGGAGTTATTGGTTGATTCCAGCTGGGTTTTAAACTCCCAAAGACCAAAATTGGTTGTTCAGGGTCAGGAAGGTCCATTCAGGCCAGACTCCAGGTTTTTTGGAGCCTCTTAATTCCATCAGAACTGGTCATTTATGGATTATTGAACCTCGTAATGTAGAGATTATGAATCATTGTTCCATCCTCTCTGTGCTTTTGGTCAACTCACTGAATTTAAGCATTTACCATAAAACCCACCCAAAGGCTTGGGCTGACAGGGCAGTGGGACAGGAAAAGGGATTGTCCCCATGTCCCCTTGGCCTGAGCATTTTTGGGGATTTAGAGGACTCAGGGCCACCCTCTCCTCAGGCACAGCTGGACCTGCATCCCACAGCATCCTGCCACCCTCAGGGACCTGCTAAACACTTCCTGGAGCAGAGGCTGAACCCCCAGTTCCCACCTGTTGTGGTCATGAAGGGGGACATCCTGTCCCTCTTTGTCACTTCCACAGAATCATGGAATCACAGAAGGTTTGGGTTGGGAAGGACCTTAAAGCTCCCCCAGCCCCAGCCCCTGCATAGGCAGGGACACCTTCCCATCCAACCTGGCCGTGGACACTTCCAGGGATGGGGCAGTCACAGCTTCTCTGGGCAACCCTGGAGGATTTAATCCAAGCCAGGGCTGTTTAGGGGAGCAGAAGGTGGAGGGAGGAGCAGAAGAGTCTCATGGTTGGCACCGTGTCTGCCATGGCCACGTGCCCCTCGTGCCTGGGGCTCTGGGTTGGTGCTGGGAAGGTCTGGAGCAGGTCTGGAGGCAGGTGCTGAGGTGGGACCTGGGGCAGTGGGGGGGAAGGCAGAGCACGGGGGATTTGGGTAGGGCAGGAGGATTGGGATAGGGCAGGAGGATGTGGATGAGGGGAGGAGGATTGGGATAGGGCAGGAGGATCTGGATGAGGGCAGGAGGATCTGGATGAGGGCAGGAGGACCAGGGGTACCTGTGTGTTCCTGGGGCTCAGCAGCTGTGGGGTTGGAGCTGGTGGTTTGTGGGGTCAGGTGTCCTGGGGACCACTGAAGCCTCAAGGAATTGTGAGCTCCTGGTGTGTGGGGTCTCCAGTCCCTGTGGGAATCTGAGCTGGAAGCTCTGCCAGAGCCCTGGCACAGCCCCGAGCTGGGCACTGATGGCAGGGATGTTTGGGAACAGTCCTAAGGGACACCTGAGCAGCTCCTGAGGGCGTGAGCTCCACAAGCTGGGCCGGGCTGAGCCTTCAGCCCCCATTCCAGCCTCAGCTTCCCCGTGCTCAAGACTCCTCAAGACTTTTCCAGGGAGCACTTCCAGTTCCATCATCCCAGAGCTGGGCAGTGACCCTGCCCTCCTCCCTTCCCACCCCTCTGCCCGTCCCCCTGCCCCTGTCCTGCCCCTCTCCCTGTGGGTGATGACAAGCTCTGGGCACCCCAATTCCCAAGCGAGGGAGCCCGTCCCTGGAGGATTTTCCTTTCTCTGTGTACAAACCCTGCTTCAGGAGAGCAGTGCCGAGTTCCCCCTGCCCAGATGTGTTGTGCCCCCCTGTGGTGCCTGTCCCAGTAAATCCCATGTCTCTCTCTCCTGTCCCCCCCTGGCTGCCCCCCCAGATGCAGCCTGGCTTTTCGGGCGCCGCTTCAGCGACCGCTCCTCGCTGTCCTCGGAGGATCAGTCCCTCTGGAAATACCCTGGTTTGGTTCTCTTCAGTTTTTTTGTCATTTTTTCATCTGCCCTCTGGCCTTTTTCTGGACTAAAATACATCCACCAATTTTCCACCTTTCTGGCACGGGGCACTAATGAATTAATGTCTCCTCACTGAGCCGGCGGCTCCTGTACTAACCCGGGAGGAGTCTGGTGGGATGAAGAAGAATCCCAGCTCAGCTCTCACGTGTCCTGGGTGCAGTTAGGGATTCTGGAGCGTTGGGTTCACGGGGTTCTGCCCCTGAAGTAGAGATGCAAGGATCCAGGTGAGGCCAGGAGGAGGTGACAACACTCCCTTTCCCATCCCACCTCCTTCCCGGCCGCAGGCAGGGCTCCCCCATCCCTCTGTGCCGTGTTCCCTTGGAATCCTTCAGTGGACTGAGCAGTGCCACCTCTTAGGGCAACCTGTGCCCCGGTGCCCTCATGCCCTGGGGATGGCACACAGCCTCCTGGGTTGGGCTGGAGCCTTTCCTTCAGGATGGAGCAGGAGGGTGTGCACCAGCCCCGGCCAGGGTCATGCCATTAGGGGTTTTCCTTGGAATGCTGGGCAGGTTATTTGGGGAATGTTGGCAAAATGTGTGTCTGGAGGGAAATGGTGGTTTTGGAAAGTGAAGTCCCAGCCTGTGCTCAGGAGCTCATCCCAGGATAAGTGATGGAAAAGGAGGGTGCAAAGGGGGAAGGTGCCAAGTCAGTAAATGAGGAGTGGAACACCAGGAAAAAAATAGGGAATCCTCAGGGAAAAAAAATGTGGCCCAAGGGAAAGAGAAATCTGCAGGAGAAACCCGTCACCCCAGTTAGTTCCTCTGCAGGGGGATCCCTGTGGGCCCCCACAGTTAGTTCCTCTGCAGGGGGATCCCTGTGGGCCCCCACAGTGAGGTTCCCAAACTGGAATTGCAGCTCTGGAGCTGAAGAAGAAATGTCTTGAAGTAGCAAGTGGATGGTGTAAAACTGTGCAGGGACAGGGTCATGGATGGAGTGTAGGATCGAAGGAGCCCCAAACCTGAGCAGTGGGAGAGGCTGGGATTCACCCTGGGCATGTGGAAACAGCCAAGTTACCAGAATTATTCCTTCTTATTCCTTCTTCCACTTGAAATATATCCCTGTGGATCCTTCAGAAGGAGTTGCTCTGTCAGAGGAGCCCCGTGTGTCCCAGTTGGGAGTTTTCAGAGCAGGGATTGCTGGTTCTTCATTCCCAAAGGAGCTCTCCTTCTCTTCCTCCATTTCTGAGCTTTCCTGTCTCTGCACCTTTTTAACCCACTTGTACTTTTATTTCTTATGCACATAAGAAATCCTGGACAATGCTGAACACCTTATCTCCTGCAAAAGGAGGAACATCTTGTATGGGTGACAGCCAGGGGCTGGAGCACAGCCAGCCTGCTGGGCTGGGGGTGGGGGTGCAGGCCTGGGATCCCCAGTTTTCCATGAAATGCTCGGCCTGATGGAGGGGATGGTGCCCACGGCTCCGAGCAGGGGAAGGGGCCTCCCTTGGCTCTGGGTCCAGGGGCTCAGGGAGTGCAGGGGCTGAGGAACTGTGGTCATGGAACAGGCTGGGAGCAGGTGAGGCCACTCTGGGCCCAGAGCCACCATTGCAGGTGTGGAGGAATGAGGCACGAGTTCCAGAAGGTTTGGGTTGGGAGGGACCTTAAAGCCCATCCAGTGCCACCCCTGCCATGGGCAGGGACACCTCCCACCAGCCCAGGTTGCTCCAAGCCCCGTCCAACCTGGCCTTGGACACTCCCAGGGATCCAGGGGCAGCCACAGCTTCTCTGGGCAACCTGGGCCAGGGCCTCCCCACCCTCCCAGCCAGGAATTCCTTCCCAACTCTTCTATGATTCCATGATTTCAGTGCTTTACTCTGGCACTCCACTGGCATGATGATGCTGTAACTGGGAGCAGAGCTCTGGGAGTGGAGCTCAGCCTGGCAGCTTTGGGTGCCAACACTGACCTGCTCTGCTCACCCGAGGCTCCTGTTTTGTGCTGTGTAGGTCCCACCTGAGCCATGTGGTGTCCAGGAGGGTGGGATGGCTCATGCCCTGGAGGTGCCCCGTTCTTGGCTCCCTGGGAGCCGGGTGGGATTGATTAGGTGGGATGAATCCCACAGCCAGGTTCTGCTTCAAGCAAGATGCTCAGATAAGGTGTTCAGAGGCACCTCCATCAGGAACGTTGGAGTTCTCCATGGGCTGGGCATTAATCCAGCATGTTCAGCACCAGCTTAAAGCTACTTCTGCATTAAACGGGCGTAACTGCTGGCTTGCGGTGGGGCAGTGCCAGTGCCACAGGTGGCAGCTCTGGCACAGCATTCCTGGGGGGTGGTGGCTCTGGCACAGCATTCCTGGGGG